ACTTTACGTCATCATTAGCATGCGTAATACTGGCCACTAGAGAGATCCAAGAAATCGTAAAGAATAACCAATTAAGGATGGCTTCTCGCGTTGGCTTCTCCGGATTAGTTTTACCACCTTGTCGTAAATTCAATAGCTAAAGATAGGCCAGCTGTAGATAAATTCCCCTACCGAGGAGGAACGATAGATCAGAAGTACACCGTACCATGCGACTTCACCTCGTCGTTTAATGCATGCGCGCAGCCGGTGTACAGACCCATCCGTCCGTCGACAGAGTGTGGTGGCATTTAGGATCCGTGCCGTCGTGCTCGCGGCGGTGATGTTACGCAAGATGTGCCTTTAACCGGCAACGGCGACGACCTCGCGCGGTCCAGCAGAATTCTTGCGAAATTCCCGACCCGTGTGCAAGTTCCTCGTTGAAAAGCGCCGTCCTCTCCGTCGTTCTCCGTCTCGTCTTTTGCCCAGCGGGATCGATGGATCTCGCTCCCCGGGCAGTCCATGTTAGAATCGCAATTTCGAGTTAGACAATTTTCCTCGACACATTAATTCTCGTACATTCCTCTGTTTAGTTATTTTTCACGGAAAAAAAGCGCAAGGTACGCGTCCCGATATTTGAGATCTCAATTTTATTCATGGAAAAGAAACGAAGTACGAAAAGAACCGAAGTATCTACACTAAAAAAAAAATTTACTAAATCTCAATACATATTTCTTTGAACAATAGATAATGTAAGTGAACATTTACTTACAGCGAAAAAAGGTTTACACAATAAAAAATGATGATTGAATCAAATTAATGATTCCTACACCAGATAAATAATTGTTTACATTTAAATATTTGCTTAGACCTATTCAAATAAATATTTATTAAAATTTAGTATCTTTTCAGTGTAAAAATTTAGACAACATGCAGATGTAAACATTATTTTGTTGAATTATTAAAATAATTATGTAAGCTCAAACTTGCTGAAAACTGCTAGAATGTTACAATTTTTGGCAGCATTGCTCGTCATGCTTGAGTTTCCTATATAATTCTTTTGATAATCCAACAAAAATTATTTTCAAATCTAATTATCTAATTATCTACCTACTCTCTAAATTCTTTGAAGTGGAATCTCCCTCTAAAGAGTAAAAATTGAGTCTTGGAAGAGAGTGATTCAATTTTTAATTTTTAAAAGATTTTTCACTCTTCAGAGAAAGATCTCTAAAAGAGAGTGAAAATTTTTAGATATTTCATTCAGCAAAATCATTTTTTCATGGATTTCTGTTCGCTTTTTTATCGGGACTTTTGAAATTTGCCAATCGCAAAATCGACTTCCGATACTACATGGGAATGAAAAAGTTTCTTGTTGAAACCATCAGCGAAATTGCCAGCAGGTTTAATTAATTGTTAGCATAGGATGATAGAGATCAGGTGTCAACTTCGGGGTCCTCGTACGCAGCGCGTAACGTGCTGAAGATCTTTGCGTAACTCCGACGCATGACGAACGGTTCGCATCTGTTTATCCGGAATGATCGTACATCTCCTTTTTGCATCCATCTGCGCCGTCTGTAATATCGTCGTGTACAATCGATTATACAATAATATCGCGCCTTGAAAAGACGCTCTCGCCACAGAAAGGAAAAGTCACGATCTGACGTGGCCGTCGCTGCTACGGGACGATGCACTAACTCGGTTAGTTATCTATATATAATGTTTCGGAAGCCTCGATCTCACAGATTTAACGATCTTTTGTGAATTTCACAGTTTTAATTTTAGCAGTGCTACATCCGAAATATTATTCAGAACGGTATTACAAAAGATATTATAAACATACTTTGCACTTTGACTTTCTTTATTTATCTCT